ATTTGGCGTCATTTTCGGACATTTCAATCATTCCTGATGCCTAAAATAGAGTCTTAAGTTTTACCGTAGTCATTGACGCCTATTCAAGAGTATGATGTTTATCGTGACTAGCGTGAATGGGCAAGCTTCGTTTCGACAATGAGCTGTTATCACTGTAAACAATGTTAAATTATTCTTCACATGCTCAGTTTATTTTTTGAGAACAATTATTTAAAAATAAAATCTCTCAGTCAATCAGAAACTCGGATTCACGCCTTCAGGGAAAGTCACGTTTGGACGCTCACATCGATTTTGTTTTTCATTCGGCGGGCTGATGCCTTCAGTGTAGCTTTTGTCTCTTCCGAAATAGAAATCATCTGAATCTTCTTTCTACCTCTCTTTCTTTTCACACCACGCATAATGTAATGATAAACATTAGGAAAAAACGCTGGGGAAATATGTTTGGTTTGCTAGCGAGCGATAACTGATTTGAGAATAATTGCACATGCGCGTGAATTGAATGAACTATGACCCGTACAATCTCAATTTGCATATTGTCAATCAAAGGTCCTGTTATTTGATTACTCATGCAAATTAGGCAATTGGACATAAACATTGCCACGTGTGAGTTTTTTTTATTTTTAACCAGAAAATAAACAGCAATTTTAACGGTGTTCCAATAAGAATTCATTGGTCAAATTTTCACAGAATGTTCTTTAGATAAAAATCTACATAAAAAACGAAAAAAACTATTTTTGATTGAAATTCACAAATAAACTGCATCTCTACCTTAAGCATGTACCTATCACTGTGTTGAAATTTGAATATTTCATGATAATATTTGATGTTCAACAATTTCACATGTAATGTTGCTGCAATTTTCGATGTTTGATTTTCGATTCCTAAATTAAATCCCGTAAACACCTTGCAGTAATGTTTTTGAGAGATTTACTATATTCTAAATGACTACAAAACCAAACACAGTTGTTGCTATGCATGGCTTTCACTTCGCTTCATCATTTTCATGTGATAGTAGTGCTTCAATCTAGAAGGCACATCTTTTCACCACCAGTTCCGTCTTTTCATCACAAATTCACAAAATAGTCTTGTTTATAGTCTGCACTTTCCTTCAGAAGATTGGGACAAAAATAGCAACATTTTTGGAGTAAAAACTGAAAATTTACACAAATTTTGGGGTTCGTTTCCAGAAGAATAATTTGGTGAGAACGTCTGGTTGTGAAAATATTGAGGGTACATTGTTGTTCATTTCAGATGAAGGAAAACACCAAAAGTGATGTTGTTGAACTTCACACAAAACTAGAGAAAATCACAGAGGATAGTAACCGACAAATTGAAGAGTATAGACGCAAACTGGAAAAGGCGATGAGATCGAGCACCCAGGCAACGGATCTCTTGCAGAACGTCAGACACTCAAAGGAAGACTTAGAACTGGAACTGCAGGCATTTAGAAAACAACAAAATAACATAAAAGACTTGGAAGAGAAACTACAAGAAAGCGAAGAAGAGAGAAAATCTCTGGCTGGTAAGATAAAGTCTGCGGACGATAGAGAGAATAAGCTGAACGATACACTAAAGACAAAACATCAACTGACACAGGATCTGAGCAAGCAGATTTTGGAGTTGGAAGACAAGTATGAAAATGAAGTGATGAAAAACAAGAAGTTGTACAGGACAGTTGAGGAAACTGAAAGAGAACTGGAAGAAAAATTGCAGGTATGAAATGTTTTTTTTTTAGTTTCAGGCGTTCACTCCTCTTTCTGACAACGTTTTCTCAATAAATGATAGTAGTAGACCTGCAGTGTCAATGTAAAATTAGCGTAAAAATAAAGGAAATCAGGGACCACAACTTTTTTTTCGTTTTTGCCTTCTTTTTTTTTCTTGAAGAGCTCTCTCCGCTAGCATTCAAAAACTGACTGGACTTAATTTTTGGAGATTATGATTTTGACTCTGGATTCCTACAATATCAGTTCTATTAGAAGGCACATTGATTGCGTCTATAATATGGATGATTGCAATGATTCCTAGATGTCTGAGTAAAGGGATTGGGTTGGTTGCAAAGTTGAAGCTACAACAATCTTAAATAAAATTGACCACTGAGGGGGTAGCACACTTTCTGTTAACACCCTACCCACAATGCTATGGCTCATTGCCAATGATCAAAATAGATCAAGGCATAAAATCTTAATTATTAGAGATCAATATATTAGAAATATTTATGCAATCATTAATTTTGTATTTCCGTTTTTTTCTAGGATTATGAAAATAAGTTGAAATTGGCACGAATGGGGAAGAAAACTGTTCGTTTTAACCTGGGCCCTGATCACCATGACAGCAGTGAAGATGACGTCAAACAGAAGATGACTGACCAGCAAAATGTAAATTTCCATTTGAATTACTAGAAATGTAGTTTGTCTTGCAATTTTGTGATCATCTCGCAATTCGTGTGACTTCTTCAAATCTCGTGAGATCTTCTTCGCATATCACACACTTACATTTTCTCATCTTATAAATCTTTGTTAATATCTAACAGACAATAACTATGCAGGAGGCAAACATCAAAGTGCTAGAAAAACAGATTGAGGAACTGACCACAGCTAAGCATGAGAAACTGAAATGTGAAACAAAGGAATACACAAGGGTGCAGGAGGAAAAGTTAGCTGACTTACAACAAGAAAAGATGTTCTTGGAAACCCAGAATAGTAAACTAGAATGTAAAGTGAAAGAATTGGAGAGTAAACGGGATAATTTGAAGGGCAATGCTGATGAAGTTGAAAGTAGACTGTCAGAGGTGTGTATATTGAAATGAAGTGTTATGGTGTATACTGAAATCAGCTGTATGATCCCCTGTAGTTAAAATATGCTTCCTAACTAAATAATGTGGCTTCACGAGAATGTTGTAAAGTATACACAAAGGCAGTACAGTGATGGTATCTACCGACGCATAGCATACATCTTTTTCACTGTGTGATCGTAATTTCGTGAGAGATGATACGATACAGTGTGTGTAGAACATTTTACGAAATTCATGCCTTCATGATCATTTGCATTCAGTGATTCATGATTCACATTATCAGCTGTTATCAATCAACAGGGATTTTTCTAGAAAAAAAACTGCAAGAGGGAGCACTACAATTCAGCGGTGCCACCAAGCAGGGGAGATAGGGTTCTCCTTACCAGGGTGTGAAGTTTTTGATAATTCTAAGTTAAAATGGAGCATTCTATGGCTTCCTTGGGGCCAAAATTACTATTAGACAGGTCACAGTTGAAGACTGTGGTCACATGTGATCCCTGGTCAATTAGAATTTTATGGTTGCCAGAGGATCTGCTTCCCAGGGCACATGGCCATGGCATGAGGGCGCTGAGCCCCTGTTCCCTTGTTTAAAATAATCCCTGAATCACCACTATCAGAATTGGTGATTATTATGTCATAGCTTCACATTATCACATGGTAATGTAAACCTCTGTTCGCAAGTAAATTCATTTCAACCAAATTTCCACTTTTTTTTAATCCTGATGGTGCTGATTTATAACAACATTAATGAATCCCCCAACAGTGTCGCTGGAATCGACGAAGGATCTTGATAAAATGCTTTGCTCGGCTATGCCTCACATTTTCTCATTTATGTCTCATATTGGATTTCTTATTATTATATTGATGTGTTGTGTGCAATATTTAATATTGGATATATTGATGCATGATTTACTGATGCATGAAATCCTTATTCTCTCACCATTAGACCATCAGTCACTACGAGAGTCAACTTAGCGAACTCAGAGTAAAACACCACAGTGCACTGCATACAGCCAATGATAATGTTGATCGTGTATCCATGCTTCAAGACTCCGAAAGAAAACTGAAAGGTAAAGTGGAGAAGCTTGAGAAGGAGTTGAACACCAGATGTAGACAATCTGATGAACAGATCACCCTCTTGCAGGTATGGCACAACATAACACAATACAACTGCTGTTGATTGCCCAGGGATTACAATATTTTTATCAGTATTTTTTTTTTCACTTTTAAAAATTTGAGGATTTCATGAAATTTGTAATAACAAATTTTTGCAAAAGACACTCCATGTAGTAGGACTCCAGAAAGATTTTTCACACCAAGTTTTTCAACCAACAATTTTGATGAATTTTTTTTTTTTATTTTCAAATGGACATTATTCTCCTCATTTCAGTAGAAGTTATTTTAAAAAACAAACAGCTTTTTTTGTGAAGGGTGACAAGAGATGATATACAATAGTCTAAAGATAGACATTGCCACAGTCAGCTGGTGTACACCTGATAATAAAATAAATCTAATCATTTTACTGGTATTTACTATATGGGGCAGCCATCTTGAATACGACTTGGAACTATTAAAATAAAGAGACAAGTTGAGAAACTCATTTTTCAGATTTCTACAAATTAGGGGGGAAAAAAAAACTTCACAGCCGAATGATTCGTTTAGGCAACATTAAGCCAGTTGCTATAAACAAAATTCAGCCTAATTCATCATTTTTCAAGGGTTTTTGAAACCAAAATCATCGTTAACTCAGGGGTCAATCGGAGACAGCCTTATGTTCAATTGCATCACAACTTTCAGAGGAGAAAATGGGGACATTTCTATTCCCATTTGGATTAAGTGCCGATAACAGACACTCTTAATGTGGTCATTTCTCAGACATGTCGTCGTCAAGATGATTTCATGGTTTTGTCAATAATACTAAACTGTCATTTTCACTTTGTGTAGGAAGAAAAAAAAGAAGTCGAGACTAAATTTGAGAAATTGAAAGACAGTTGTAGTGTTATCCAAGATTTGGAAGATGAGTTGTCCATGCTGGCCGGCCAGAATACTGAACTGAATGAACAGAACCTAGAACTGGGGAAGCGAGTCGATGAGTTGAAGACTGAGAATAATGATAACAAGAATGAGGTGGACAAACTACAGGATGAATTAACACAAAAGAATCATAAATGTGATGGCCATGAATTGGTGAGTTTAACATACTATACTGCATTCTGTAGACGTATATCACGCTGAAATAGACTGATAAGATACTTGTAATATTTCTAGGGACATTGTCAGCGACATTTGTTTTGACTTCGGCACTTATATTCTCAACAAATTGACACTCCTGAACACAGCCATTTTCCATTATGGATTTGGATTAAAACAGAAGTTAGAATTCAAGCAAAATATCTTTGGACTTTTCGGTCTTTGGCATGTATCCTACAAGCATTTTACGTTTGAACACATTTAGTGTACAATTTTATATCAAATTTGAGCCTTTAAAGACCCTTCAAATATAGTGGGACATTTGATGTGCAAATGAGTGTTGTTAATTTCTAACAGTTTAAGGCAATCTCGTAAACCCTGCATTGTTTCTAAGAGTAATACAATGTTTCTGAGGAAATCGATGGTGCTAGCCATTTCCTGTTTCAGTTTATTTTGGCGCTCTCTTTAAATCTTTGCACCAAATATTTTACTATGAAAAAATATAATCATCTTACTGTATTGGTGAAGTTAGTTTAAATTTTGCAGGTTTTTGTGCATATTCAAATCAGCTTGTTGAAGTTGGGAATCTATCTTGTGTGACCTTAGCATCGTCTTTGTTCAGGTTTTCTTGCAGTAATCGCTGTGTCAGAAATTTTTTATTTATCTAGTAAAATAGCTCTTTCATAGCAATTTATTAATTAAATTTAACTAAAATTTGCACTATCACCAGGTCTTGAAATTCACTAAGGTAATGAAATTCATTGCCTAGATGCCGAATGCTTTAAAAATATTCAAATACATGTACATGTATATCTTTTGCATTTTTAATCAGTCAAAGACACTGTTATGACCTTGAATTGGGTGCTCTCTGAATACTGTAAAATACTTCACTTGGAATTTATTTTCGCTGAAGGAGGGATTCAGTGAAAACAAAATCCAGCGAGTATACCTTTTTTCCTACATTTTACATTACATTACATTTTACAGAAATTCCATTCAAAACATCCAAAAAAAATTATCAACAAAAATTAATTCCAGCTATAATTAAGTAATTTACAGTACTAAATTTCAAACCCCCTGATCTTCTGGAATTTTTGTTTGTCCATTGCAGACTATTTCAATGTTGAAGTCTTCATGTACTATGCTAGAAGAGCAAGTGCTGGATCTTGAAGCATTATACAATGGACTGGAAGAAAAGACAGCATCGTGGAATGACACCAAGGCCGCACTTGAAAATGAAATTGAACAACTTGAAACAAGGCTGAAAGAATTACAACAGGCCTTGTCAAATGAAAAACAAGCAAGGTTAGTAAGATGTGATGTTTTATACAAATGACGTTCAATCCTGAGATCACGTAAAATTTTAGCTGTTGAAATTCAGTAGTTTACAAAACACTCATGCAATGTTTATGGGTTTGAAGTTTTTTCAATTAACTGCTTATTATTTTAACACTACAATGTTTGGCAGCATTTCCCATGTGTTACTTTTTGTCTTATCACAGCCATGTATATTGTTAGAGATGTTTGATGCAAACCATATCAATGCACCATGTAATTCAAGATAGTCGTTTGATTTCTACATTTTGCAATAGATTATACGCTGAAAGTAAGAGTTTGGAGTTGGCTGAAACAGTGGAAGTCTCCAACAAAGCTCACAAAGTGGAAATTGAAAGATTACAGACGCAGCTACATGCACAGAAAGTACAGACTAAAACTTTAACTGAAAATGTAAGTATAGAACATATGATAGAGGAAATGCCCAGTTAGAAATTATTATCAACTGTTTGCTTGTTACTAGGTGCTGTTTCATGTCTCTGGTTAAAACTAGTTTTTCAGAAAATTAGAAATCATTTTCTTTATTTGCGCGAGCTCGAAGCACCATGGCAGAATTAGAGTGTCACTGAGTTGTTAGTCCCCGTTCGGACGAAGTCCGAAAACGGGGACTTATAATTCGGTCTCTGTGCGTCTGTGCGTCCGTCCGGAGACATATCTCAGAATCCCTTGGACCGATTCTGTTCATTCTTTGCATGTGCCTAGTACTTTATGTGGGACATATGCACATGCAGTGGTTTAGCGATTTGATTCAAAATGGCCGACTGGCAGCCATCTTGTTTTTTGAATATGTTGTATTTTGGACATGCTTTGTCAGTTTTCATTCAAACTTGGTACATAGATTATACATGTTAGGATACATGTCCATGATGATTTATTTCACAATTGGATCAAAGATGGCCGACTGGCAGCCATCTTATTTTTTGAAAATGTCGTATTTTGGACATGCTTTGTCAGTTTTCATTCAAATTTAGTACATAGATCATACATGTTAGGATACATGTCCATGACGATTTATTTTGCAATTGGATCAAAGATGGTCGACTGGCAGGCATCTTGTTTTTGTTTTTTTTATGCAGTATCTTGGACGTGCTCTGTCAGTTTTCTTTCAAATTTGGCACATACATGTACTTTATACATGTTAGGATGCATGTCCATGACAATTCGTTTCAAAATCTGGTCAAGGATGGCCGATTGACAGCCATCTGACTTTTTGGCCGTACTACTATATTTCCACAATTTATGTACCATTTTCATTCGTATTTGGCACACACATCATACATATCAGTGTGTTTCATAATCAGATCAAAGATGGCTGAATAACGACTGTTTTTATTTTGGCCATATTACTATGACACAAAACACGTGTTTTGATGTAGATAAACAATCTGTTGTATACGCCACTTGGAACTCAAGTTTCAAGGACATGCTCGCGACAACCCCTCCGCTTTAATATGACGAGCACAAAGAGAACTTAACGGGGACTGTGTCATTTTCAATGACTTGTTGTCTTTGTGTTGTTTTCTAGATGAATGATTTGGAAAAGAAACATTCGCTGCTGGACCTCAGTGTTAAATCATTGCAGAGAAAATATCATGATGAGCAGTCAGTCAGTGAAAATCTGAGAGATGACGTAAGAATTATCTCTAAATTTGATTTATAAAGTTCAAGAGTCACATGATTGATGAAATGCACTGTATACGAGATACAGCAACATCCTCAGTTGTTAGTTTGACCAACTGAACACCAGGCCTTGTTTTTAAAAATGGCCGACGTGAACACAGTAATAGGAGTGATTAGTGGAAACTTATGGTATTACAATCCCTTCAGTGGTGGTATGGATTGGGAGAATCATAATTAGCTCCGCTGTACCAACTGAACACCGAGTAATAGGTGAATGATCACTCTGACAACCACCACTGTTTGGAAGTCTATCAAACTATCTCTAATAATTCAATCAATGTTATGTCTCTACTCCACAGATTGCCAAACTAAACACCCAGGTTTCAAACTTGAAAACGTCAATATTCAAATTAACACAAGGACTGGAGGAGGCGGTTGAAAAGGGAGAATTACTGAAGACTGAAAAAATTGATTTGGAAGATGCCTTAGAAGACCTGGAGGTAAATTCTGAATTTACTTGTCTATGATGGCTATTCTCTGGCCACTGCGCTCTAGTCAGTGCAGGAATATATGCTGCCCTTAAAAGTCAAATTTGAGCAGACTCCTAATTTGTAGACCCTGACTTTATACACTCACCCATGCTTAGTGGATATGGCAGTAATTAAACCTTTTGTTTGCAGCTGCAATACTCTCATGAGAAAATCAAATTGGAGGCTACTCTTGCACAGCAAACCAAATTAATTGATTTCCTACAAGCCAAAATACAAACGCCAGTCAAGAAAAAGAGAAAGTTTGGACCAGGAAGACTTTTCCATCGTAATACTAAAGAAACCATGCTGCCACCTTCTGTGCCATTACAGGTATGTACCATGAAAGCTGAGACACAAAAAGTGATTGTTGTTATTGATGATGTATTGAATGAGGAAATGCTTCAACATTCTGTGTTCATTTGGTGATTGATTTTATAACCATTGCTGAATCGCCAATCTTTAAAAAGCTATTGTTTGAATGGTCAGTCTCACTAAAAGCCATTGCTTGAATGGTCAATCTCACTAAAAGCCATTGCTTGAATGGCCAATCTCACTAAAAGCCATTGCTGAATAACCAATCTCTCTAATAAACCATTGCTGAATGGCCAATATCTCTAATAAACCATTGCTGAATGGCCAATCTCTCTAATAAACCATTGCTGAATGGCCAATCTCTCTAATAACCCATTGCTGAATGGCTAATCA